AAGATTGCGATTTAGAATGAAGGCATGCGCGGCTTCATTGCCAAACAGACCTAGATCATGATTGCAGACAAGGTGCAAGAAGCGCAAGCCAATCTGGTTAAGTCGCCTTGCAAGAGGCATGCACGTAAGCGTGGCGTTCATCCGCGCAGCAGTACAAACTCAGCCGTGACGATGGCCTCATGATACGATCGTCCTGAATGACAACCGGCATTCACCAGTTTGCCACTCAAGCATGCGCAAGGGTGCGATCCACGAGAAGTACGGACATGAGTCCGCATCTCCGCAAGCAAACTCATGAAACCTCAAGAGAACCGTTTGGTTTCAAAACAAAGCGATCAATTTCCAGAGCATCGTTTGATACAATCTTCAACTGCAGCCTGCACATCACATGCCACCAAAACATCTTCACTTCTTGTGCAAAATCAAATACAGAAAAAAAGCACAGCACTTCGAAACCGAGCCAACTACCACACAAACAGTTCAAAACGGAGTCTTTGCGGACACTTTGTCGACACCACCCGAACCAGCAGATCGCCACATGGTCTCAATTCAGCACACACAGTCGGAAGATCTTCAAACTGAAAAACTTACCAACGCAAAAGTTGCAACATCAAAACAAATTTGTTGCTGACTTTATTCTGGAATTTGTGCTGGTCATGCGGTAACTACGGACTTTCAAAGAGGTATCTACGGGCCCATTCTCGAGCCCAAACAAGTTTTACGAACCAGGCCCTACGAAACATGCCTCTAAGGCATTAGCGACCACTTTAAAACACTGCTTTTTTGGCAGCTGGAATCCACTTCATTGATGATTGTGCAACTGTAATTCTCTCGACGGAAGGACTGCTTCACACAACATTGCTTGCATACGTCAATGCCTGCGAATGGCGTAACATGACGTTGGTCCTTGTGCACATGAGAGCAATATGCATAGGCCAAAGCTCGATACAGCGCAGCAATACCCAGCGAGCAGGAGAAGGCCTGTCTGCAGAACGGGTGACCCTTTACTGGGAACGCGTTGTGCATTCACCGAGAACACTAGGTAAGATATAACTTGTTCATGCCCAGATTCACTATGAAATCTGGATGTCATCCATCCTTAATCCTGACGGCAGATGTTCTTGCGTCTGCCGTTGGTGCAGACTGCGAGATTAGTTTTTCAAGAAACCTTCTGGACTGCAGGGGTTCTAGTTTCGATTTGCAAGTGCTGCCTGCTATCTCGACGATGATGCGTGATTCACGCCTAAGTGAGACCCTAGGTGTCTCCTACCAACTCAACTTCAAATCCCTCAACGTTCTTGGATGGCCTTCCGCTCGTCAAAGGTAGCTGAGTCAGCAGCATCAGCCAAGAGCTCCTGACCCAGGCAAGCATCTCTCCGATGACTCCCATGGATGCCAAGTGCGCGATTCTGCGACAGCCTTGCAGTCTCAAGCTCTGCGCTGCACCAGTTTTGGGTCTAATCCTCTTAGCCAAGTCCTAGCCTGTCCCCTCGATCTCACAAGGGTTGCCTTTGCCCGCGAGACGTCGCCAGACTTGAAGGCCTGCTCGTTTGGGTCGGTGCGCTCCCTCCTGCTGCTTCTTCCTTTTTGCTCTTTCCTTCCTCTTCTGTCCTTCTTTCTTTGGCCAAGATTCTGGTACTGGTAGCAAAAAGAGTGGGGCTGAAGGGACTAGCAAGTCTGCTTGCTTCATGTTTGGGATTGCTTGGGAGATGCTTGGCTTCATCGCTGGGAATCTCCCTGTTTTTGTCTGCCTTGCTCCCCCGCTTATGTCTACCCTGCTGCATTTGTTTGCACACTCCTTCGCCCTGGGAACTCAGGCAGAACCAACAACGCACCTACACACTCTCGGTGATCTGGCACGGCATGCTCTGAAAGGTACTGTGCATGTTCTACTCGGGACGACAAGGCTTAAGCTTGAATAGAATCGCTTGAGTACTTTGTTTTCAAACGTTTAGTTAACAAGTCTTATATGTTCAGCCACTGGCTGGTTGCCATGGACAGAACAAGCTGTGTCTCGACATGTCTTGAGGCTGGAAGCTGGAAACTCTGATGTCCTAGCCCTCTCCGATTCCTATCCGTCGGTCTCTGGTACTTATGGTCCTTGGCCTCCATCATCCACGGTTACATTTACGGAAACTTTGCCTCGGCACCTTCGCCAATGGTGCTCAGCAGCCTGAGTGCTAGTGATGCGTTATCTCACTCGGCATATCATGGCAGTGCACCATTCGACATGACCTGTGTTGAAGCAGGAGACACAACAGCATCATCGGATCAAATCAAGCTTCGATCTAAGATCGAAGCCCCGGCCATGGCGCAACCTGCCAGCGTGGTGGATGCTGAGCCAAACCAGTTGTACTCCGGAAGCATGTGCTGGCACGTCTGCCTCTGGACAGTTTCCGAGCGGAGAGACTCCAGCTGCAGACCTTTGGCGGTTGGAGCAGGACTGCTGCCGGTGGGGGAGAAAGCACTGGCTCTGTGCTGACGGCACGTTTGGTCTCGAAACGCAGCAACTGGCGCACCAAGTTCGACTTCTCCAGGCAGCTTTGGCCGTACGAGATCGAACTTGACGAACGGTCAAAGCAGTTGTACACAGACGTATACTGGGGATGCGCATTGGGATCATGGGAGAACAAGCAGCGTTGGTATGTGAGTACAGCCTGAAGAACACATATGCCGACGCGCGTATGTGAAGATGACTAGCCGCATCAACCCACCACCTGTTAGACATCTGAACACATCTTGCCGCATCGGCGTATCCGCATGCCACAAAGGAATTCTGCGGGCAAGACAGCTCCGCTTGCCAGCTGTTACAAACCATGCAGAGAGCAGCTCGTGCGCAGGCGCAACTGCGGCCCAATGCTTACTGCCACTGTTGCTGGCAATGGAAGCAAAGGACCAATGCCTCTTTGGGCAATCGGTGTTCTTCGCGAGGACGAAGGCTGACCAGCTGGAATGCAACTTGCATCACCGAGCTGCTTCTACGCCGAGCTTCCACTGCCCATGAAAGTGATTGAATTGTCTGGAGACACCACAAACTGGCTGCCGAGATCAGGATCGGCCTCGCTGGACTGGAACTCAAGCCTTGGAAACCAAGGTGCACTGCACGCCAAGCCAACACTTTCGACAGCTGACATTCCTTCTAGTGGTAGTTGTAGTGATGCAGAATGACACGCAGTGACCAACCTCTGCTCTTGAGCGCACACCCTGATTCACACGTTGTGATTTGTGACATTTTGTAGTCGGGCACCAGCTTGACAATGTTGCTTCCTGCTTAGTGCGGTCCCCCGGAATTGTGAGAACAAATTCAGCGGGATCAATTTGACGAGACGAACCCCCGAAGTTTGAAAAAGAACTCGCGCGAAATTTCGGCGAGGCTTCCCTTTAAGTTCACTTAAACTCAGCACTTTTAAAATCCTATTAACATCATATAAACTCATCACTTTTTAGAATCCTAAAAAATCATCACTGTTGAAATCGTATGGATCCCTTTTAAACTCATCGAAACTCATCCCTCTTGAAAGCATACAAAGCCAGACCCCCCCCCTCACCCCACCACCGCCCCCAAATTGCCCCTCCGCCCCCCCCCCCCCCCCCCCCGCCGCACTATGGGGTGGGGGCGAGGGGGGGGGGGGGATCATTTTGTTTCTTGTTTCATTTTTTGGGCGGGGAGGGGGGGGGGGTGGGGGTCGCACTAATCAGCATCCAACGTTACGCAACCACGGCGACCCTCGGAAGACTACTAGCTAAAGCAAAGTAGGCGCTGACTTTTCCGAGCAGCCTTAGCTCCTTCATGCTGGGCAATGCAGCGCAAAGCTGCTTCAAGCCGTTATGGGTGTACTTGCTGCTGTTGCTGATGAGGTACAGCCTTGCAAAGAAAGCATCGCAACTGCAACGTTGATCCTTTGCTCTTGTGTGCCATAAACAAGACAAGCCTTGGTACTTGAACTACGGCGTGGTGGCTTATGTTCGGCTTATGTGGGCCAGGCAGCTTTTGCAAGCCAGAGCCCGATTTGCCCAACCAGTCAGCAAACCTCAGCTGAGGCTGAGGCCCAGAACCGCAAAGCTGACCGGAACCTCCCACAATTGAATCTCCATACTGCATTGCTGCTGGGCACAACATGAGCAGAGGCACCAGCTCCTAGTAAGCCTAGAGCTTCGGTTTCCCACAATTGAAACTCTTCACGGTTTCCATCGGGTCCCGAAAAGCCCTCTCGGCCGTCAAAACAAGCAACACAACACCAAAAACGACAACCCGACCGGGAGCCAAACTGCCGGAGTGCAAAGTGCCCGTTCAGCGCTGACAAACGCGAAGAGAATGGCAGGCTCAAGAGGGGGAAGTGACGGATGAAAGGAGGAGAGCCAACTATAGAGCCAGGAGAACGCTGACAAGAAACAACCAAAATCTCAACACAAGTTCCAACCCCTTTTCGAGCTTTAAAGCAGCCAGGGCAATGCACTGCCGAGCTTTTGCAGCCGTGAGATTTAACTCAGACAGGCAGGCAGCCGAATAAGTACACTCGAGCAGTTTTTAGGGGCACTCCGGCGGCCTTTGCGGCAAACTGCTGCAATTTGTTGGTTTTGCGAAACTCATGATGGTCATACGTCGCACACCCCGATGCAAATCATACCATCGATAAAGCTCATAGCGGCCTACGATAATTAAAAGATGACAAGGGCAACTCAGCTCTGCCCTGTGCAGCGCGCGGCTAAGTGAGGTTTGACCGCAGGAATAAACTGGCTCAGCCCACTAGGGGAATCACCAGCATAGGACATGGGGGTCGCCATAGATGCTCAATGAACTCACTAAGCCGTCGTCAGCCGCCACAAAACATGTGGGGTACAGGCCATGCGTGGCAAAAATCTCAGAAAGCGTCAACATGGGTCAGATACCTAGACTCCGTCCTAGGCGAAACAATCTGGGATCTCAGAATTCTAAGGCTTGAAGGGCCTGTTTCCGGTGTTGTGAATCCAAACTCACGAGGCGGCAGAACAAAGTTGCAAGTTCGTTGAGAGCTCACCTCAAGCTATTCCCAAAATTTCCCAAACGAAAGCGTGCCAGGATGGTCAGCAGCCACGCTTCGACCTCTTGCGGAACCCGCTTTTGCACTGCATTCTTACTCGAGTCTGCTGTCCGCTACAGCACTCCTTCGCAAACAAGCGAAGAGGCAAAAGCATCAGCTACTTCTGTCCCTGACCCCAGCGGTTGATTGAGAACGTGCATATGTTGTATGTGTCCGTGCTTGGTGCAAAAATCTCGCATCTCACAGAGAATCCTCAATGTCAATGATTGCCGAAGCTATGCGGGGTTGATGGTGCTGTAAGGAGGGCCCCAAGCTTGTGAATCACGGGCAGCTGGACCTTTGAGATTCATTCTGAGGCAAGGGATGCACAACAAGATGCACCCAAGTGCCAAGATCGATCATTCTCAGGATCCTGAACTCCCGAAACTCGGCAGCTTCTCCACTTGGTCTTCGTTGCGGTGTCCAGGGCGCGTCGTTTTGGGGCTGCGATAGTTGCTACAACATGGCAACATGGTCGTAGACCTCGTTCGTGTGGCGGCGCTGCCTCCCGGTGGTAGATGCGACTCTGCGCATTTGACACCTAAACATACATGGGCTCCAACATGGGCGACGGGAAAAACGACAAGCGGGCCCCGAAGACTAGAAAGACTTGAGCTCACGGAAGCCCGTGAGAAAAACACACCCAACCAAACATTACACAAGGTAAGGTAGCGGTCCGAGCATTGATCTGGGCCGGGTATTGGCGTGCCAGGTACGCCCGCAGACTTGAGATCAACGATAAGCTGGGCACCGCACGCTTCCAGCATTCGGTCCGACAAACGCGGGTTCGCATCAACATTAATGATGAGCTCAAGTAGAGTGGCAGGCAAGCCTGAGGTCGACAAAGGCAGACGGCATCAACATCAATTGAGAAAAGATGCCATTTCTCAAGTGCATCCGTGGCACTGGCCAGGAGCTCACCTTGAGAAGCTGTCAAAATGAGCACATGATTTCAGACACGACTTTGATTGCAGCGCTTGAATCGCCCCAAGTGGACGGGCGAGCGCGCCGCATCTGAATGTTTGCGATGCACTGCAGTACATGGGGTGTGGTTCGCCCTGAAACGATGTCAGGCCACACATCCCCTGGTCAGTGAACTCCGTGTTGTCCTTGAAACTCAGCATTGCCTAAGCCAGGCGTCGTCCCAAGTTGTCAGCACCACAATTTGCTACTGCATCTGAAGATGCTAGGGTAGCGTTTACACCTCTGACGCAGTAAATGAAGCATGAAACCCACTTTAATGTGCGAACGAGTGAACGAGATTAATGTGACCGCGCAAACAGGATTTTTCTACGCGCGGTGAAAAACACAATCAAATAAAGTCTTGCGCGCAAAGCATAGTATTTCAATGCACCGCTTTGCAAGCCTTGAGAGACTAAAAAGTAGCCTTCCATTTCATCGCCAAGGCTCCCGAGTTAACGCGGGCGGCAGAGTGGCAGCCAAGCTTTGAAGTGCCTGACCGCTCTCACGGAGCAGAATGTCACACGCATGCTGACATAACAAAAGTTAGAACAGCTTCGCGTTCTGCACAGCACAAACGGAGCACCTTGTCGGGAAGCTCATCGTTTCTGATGATGAGATCCAGAGAAGTCAGGCCCTGCTGTTGCATGCCAAGCGCTTGCACGTTTCATGCGATGGCTGGGCGGGGCCAGGACGGCAGTGACTTTGCAAGCACAAGCGACTCAAAAGGGACTCAGAAAGACTTGAGGGACTCTCTGTCTCTGTCATGCCGGCAGCCTTCGGCAAACCAGTTGCCAATCGGGCGAATCCATCGGACGTGATCTTGCACTCCGTCCACCTAAGCGAGTCGAAGTGACTAAGTCTAAGCCTCCGCTTTCAGGCATCTCATGCTTTTTCTCGCATGGGAGTTGATGGAACTGCTGGCCACTCTACTCTATGTGGGGGCGCAACTGAATCAACTCCGGGGCCCGTCGAGGCACGAGAACTCCAGAGCCAGCGCCAGTTTCTGCAATGTCGCTGGCAAACCTCACAACTCAGTTGACTTATGCTCTGCCAGCTGGAACACCTTGAAGATGCACAGGCTTGAGACGTTCCGTCTCAAGAACACCCTGCGCCTGCCCCGATGTAGCCCAAGGCTTTGTCCGTGAATTTGTCTGGGCAGACAAAGCTCAGTGTCAGCTTCTCGGTTCCTGAACATGCTCAAACTGCGACACATGCGAAGATATGCGAAGCATACAAAGTAGAAGCGCTCAAGTTTGCTCAACTTGCTCCATGCGAATGCCAGACTGCACCACTGCTGCGGCCAACCGTGTCCTGGTGGAAGCGCCGAAGAGAAGCCCTCTAACTCATCGTCTGTTGTCCACTCCTCTGCAAGTCATCTGGTGACTGTACCAAAAAGAGACTCAAGAGGCATCTCAGCAGTTTCTTGAAGGTTGGTTGTGAGATAATCTTTTTGATGGCGCTGAAAGGCCATGCCCGAGGACTACGGATGATTAGTGCACTTTTGTTGAGGTTTCTAGTGATCTTGGCACTTCGTCTGGACATGTTCACTTGTATACTTCCATGCCTGCACAGTGGCATAAAGGAGAATGAGCATACTGCTGATCCCAGCTGGATAGTCTCCTCGATCTTGTCTTCAAAAGTGCGGAACATCCAGTTGATGAATTGGCTCAGCATGACCTGCCACAGCATGCGTGAGATACTTCCTTGTCTCAGTATGTGACAGTATGTGGTAACAGCGTTTATCAGTGAAGCTACCTGGCACAGTCAACGTCTGTAAACGCTTTCTGTCGATCTTGAAACCATGCCAGGGTGGCAAGACTAACAAAGCCTCACAATGAGGACAATGAGTGTCAAGTTGAAGTTGGCAAGACGAACAAACGACAGCAAAGGTGTTGATGGGCTGTGAATCTCTTGCACCTTCTCAACCCATGTTGAATCCTGCATCTTGCAAGTTCCCAACTGGATTTGGCACGGCAACCAAAACGAACCAGAGCATCAACATGCATTAACGCATTTGACCGTACAGATGCTGTTTCCATTGGAGATGCTGCTCCCGAAGCCAGAAACAAGTGCACGCCTTTGTCTGCATGGATGTACTTTGTCTGCCATAGTCCGTGGGATGGAGTACCATTCTCACAGGCTTCTGGAGAACCGCAGAGGATTACGACAGCGACGGCAGATGCACGAAAAAGCGGCTGTTGGTATTTTGGGCTTGCATTTGAATTTGCCTATTTCATTGTGCTGGTGCTGAACCTCTGACACTGGTCAGACTCTGAGATCTCACTCTCGCTCGGACCCTCACGCCGCAGAACCCGCCTTTCCAGTTTGTTGTGTGTCCACTGCCTCGGCAGCAAATCGAGATAAGTGATGACGATGTTTTTGAAGTTTATGCGTGTTCCAGATGACCCACGTCACATGTGACCCGCCTGCAAGAGGCGGTCCAGGTCAGCATCAGGCATCTGGCAGCAGACCTTGAGGACCTTCTTGAGAAATGCCTCAAGTGCCGCTTCAGTCGCAGCATCTTGCAATCCCTCCAGCCGGCGCTCTACACTGGCACACTTTCTGGCCCAGGCTCCACGGGAACCATGCCTCAGACGTCTCATTTTAGTTAGGGGAGACCGGAGGAAGGCCAGGGGAAGATGAAGCAAATGCCGCTGCTTTCATGGCTGCTTCTGTCGTGTCACCATCACCAGGCACGTGCGCAGAGAAGAGCTGCACCACCTTGGCCAATGCCACGTCAGCAGCCGACGCCATGCCCCTTTTACGTGCACGGCAATGTCGGTCTGCTCAATACAGTTAGATGACCTTCATGACCTACTGCTGCATGCTACTGCTAGTGGCGGTTGTAAAGGGTTGCCTTCTGGATGCCGTGCCTAACCTCCAGCTGCTACGTTGAGCCGCTATGCCACGGCTTGATTTCGGCATTCTCGAGAACAACGAAAACACGCGGATGCCGTCCATGTTCTGCTTCAGACGCTGTCACTGCCACTCGTCCCGTAGCCCCAAAGCTCCCGACCCAGCGAAGGAGAGCTGACTCGCCACCAGGGCCTAGGGCAGTCGCCATATGGAGATATCAAGCACCACACAATTATGGCTGCTGGCCTCCGAGGCCCAGTTGCAGGACTCGGCTAGTCAGGCTAGGCATGATGTTAAGAAAAGTCTTTTAATGCAGCCTCCCAACTCCTAAATGCTGGCCTTGCAATGCAAGCAATCTCCAGCTCTAGCCCACAGGCTCCAACCCCATTGCTATGTTCCGCTCAACTGTACTGCGTTGCAGTACTTGTAAAGCCGAAGTGCGAACTGTTCAAGAGCTAACAACCCCCGACTCAGCAAACGGCTGGGGCTGCCAGGACGATGGTACACCTCCCGTTTATGCAATGTTGCTGTGCGCACATGGTATGAAAGCAAGGTGTGCAGCGAGCACAGACATAGCCACAGGGCCTGAACATAGGCGCTTACTACATCTGTGCATGCATCATGGTTGCTGCTACATGACGGTTGTGGCATGCATGGTTCTTCAGGGTGTGCTTGATTTGTTGATGTGCTGCTGCTCTTGTCACTATCGGCACGCTTACTCTTCCTCTTTCTCATCATGCTCACCAACATTGCTATCACCATCATCCCACTGCAACCAGCTACGCAAGGTCCTAGCACCAGTGATGGGAAAGGCTTGACACAAGGCTTAACCATGAAAGTGATTGGAGTAGTGCTCTGGGCGATGGCTGCTAATGTCATGTGTTGCTCAGTTGCCAGCAAGGTGCGGTACTGTGGACTGATGTACAAAGGGGATGGCACAGAAGCAAATATAGCTGTCATGGAGGCAAGGCCGGGCAAAAGCAAAATCAAAGCTGATTGGACAAGACAGGATCACGGTACATGATCAATGCGCAGGCCCTCCTGTGATTTTTGAGGGCTTAAGCTGTTGGGTTGTCACATGGCTGAAACCATTCCTCTAAGCCCTGCTGAACCTGCTGAGCTGATGCAAGGCTCCCCCCGTGGCAAAAAAAGGGGAACTTGAGAGCAGCTGCAGCCCCGCAGAGCCGAGCCCGAGTCCACGCAGTCTTTGCATGGCTCGCGCCAGAACGTCAGAACACGGGGAAGCCTCTCACTTTGCATCCGGCACCTCCGGTTCGACTCGACTCGCAATGCGGACATAACGGACATAACGGACACACAAAAATCATCAAACACACGGCTGTGCCTGTCTCTCGTGACTCTCGTGTGCCGGTGCCACGGGAGATATCTCGCTGTCCAGACTGCGCGAGAGCAAATCGATGCAACAAGGATGCCAGGAAGCGCCGACCGCCTTTCCAGGTCTTTGAGCTCTGTTCGCTTCAGCCGTTGCCTTGCATTGGAGAAGCTGAGGCTCTGCCAGGCAACTGCAAGGCCCAATGAAAGCACTTCCTTCTTCAGGCAAGCCAACTTACGCAAACAACAGTACGCGCACGGCACGGTTAACATTAAGTGGCGCTGGCCCATGTAGAGCTCACACCGAGGCTCGCATCCCGTGAAAGATCCGGACTTTTAATTGAAGAGGGGCTGGAAAGTCCTTACAAGGCGTCTCGCCCATCTGTGCAGCTCTGCAGGCGGGCATCGGGTTTAATGACAGCCGCGACGGAGCAGTCGGCCTCTTGTCACTGATGACCTTATAACCTTGAAACAATCTTCTTGCTCTAAACCTCTTTTAGTTGGAAATCCTACTGCAAACGGCCCGCGTCTAGCGAATAAATGATTCCCAACGCTCGTAAGCTCCCAGGCATTGGGCAAAGAGATGTAAGGAGCAACCTTGAGGGCAGCCGAGACAGACACGGAGAGAGGCGCCAAAGTCTGCGATGTACAGTCCGGGTGCTTCAAAGAACGAGTCTGGTCTACGATGGACTGATGACCACATCTCCCTTGTGCCAGCCGTACACCTGTGCAACAGCCATAATTTGCAAAAAGTGCCAACCGTGTCATATCACGCGTGGCCTTCATGGTGTGGCCTTCGCAAGACGCGCTATGTCGTGCTAAACGCTAGAAGAACAGTGCGGCAATCACCGAATCCCCGAAATTTGCCTTATTGATCCTCACTGCTGGCGAAGCGAAACTCCCCGATACCGGACGATTCGGCCGGCTTTCTTGGAAAGAAGATGATGGTGTCCGGTGACATCCTGTGACATCTTGTCACATCTTTTGACATCTTTCGACATCTTTTGACATCTTTTGACATCTTGCCCCTTGATCTGCAGGATGACCTGTGGCTTTCGTGTTTTGTTCTGGCTCTTCAGCCGAATACCATCCGGAGTCGAGTTCTTCTCGAGATATGAGAAAGGCCGAGGCTGACGAAGGCCCAAAGGGCCAAAGCGGGTCTTTGAAACTTGCAGACTCTCGTGAGAAAATCACAATGTGCATAGATGCAGTTAGGCACATAACCCTGCTGGGTTCCTGAAAAGAGTGGTGGCTGGCCCCGACTCATTCGAGCCAGTTATCGCTCTTGGATGATCGGACTTCCGTGGCAAACTCAACCCTGTCCAGCAAATGTTGTAGGGCCCCCACAAATCGTGGAGAATTCTTTTTCTCTCCGTCTGCTCTTTATCCAGCTCTGCCTGGTCATTGCAAAGAAGCACAAGGCAGTCATGGCAGTATTCCACGTTCCAGACCGTCCTCTAGCTTCTGGTTGGCTGACCTCAATCCACCAGCCATGTCCTCCCAAAGTGCATGCAGGCCAGCATGCGACTGCAAGAATTTCACTCAAATCACGCCTGCTGATTCGACAACTCTGTCTTAGAGGACTGTGCCGTGCCATCAGACGTACTCAGCCTGGCTCAGCAACACGCACGGCTTCTGTGGGGCTTTCGCACAGCTTCATTCTAGGAGACCAACTGACATTACATGATATTACTCATTAAATCTTACGTTTCTTCAACCTTCGCCTGTGGTGCCCACATCTCCTGTTGTCCAAGATGGGTAAAGGAAGAGCTTCAGTAGAGGTGCGATGTAGCAGCAAGGGTCATGGGGGCCAGCGGCGGGGCACAAAAGAGCACGGGAGTTTTTGTTTGATTGCTGATGGTTTCATCTCCTGCCACCACCTAAGATCACGTGTGTATTTCTCGGGGTTCGGGCTTCTATCTACCTTGGCGAGGCTTAGGGTTCTTGGGTTACTCATTTTAGCGTTTAACAAGTAGGGGCTTTCGGCATAAGGGCTGGAGGGTTTGGGTTGAGGGCTTTCAGGGTTCGCCACTCCCGATCGTTTTAAGGTTGACGGTTTCAAACTTTTGGGGTCAGGGTTCAGAGCTGTCTAGAGGATTCTACTTTTAGGGCTCAGCATTTAGGTCAAAATCAAGTTCAAGCAAGACGTCATGCGGACAGTCCAGGGTGTGGGGTGCACACTCGTGTTTGGGGTTTTAGGCCTTGCTACCTTTCAAGGTTTCGGGGGCTTCTTGGGGCTTCCTTTCAGAGTGAAAAGGGTTTTCTGCTTTCTGAGTGGGAGGTCACCGAAATCACAGAAGCACAAGGCTTAAGACAAGACAGGCGCCAAGGATTTTCGGATTTACATGATGTGGATGATGTAGATGATAGCTGAGGGTGCGAAGGTGTCACCACTAATTGAAGAAAGCTAGCGTAGACAATACTGCAATGTCTGCGACATGGGCCTCTCATGGAGGTCTTCGCTGCGCGCCTTCTCTGACACCAGCGCCTTGAACAGGGCTGTGTCCAGATAGAAGTATGATTCTTTTCATGGCATGGCCTGCTCCAGATTCGTTTTCTCAAGCTGCGCGGCCTTCAGTGCCCAGGTGCAGGCCAACGTCAGCATCTCAATCACGCGAGTTCTGATTGTCTCAACATGTAACAGTCGTCCGGATTTTCGAGCTTCAAAAGAGCTGCTCACCGCCGGACTGCAGAACGCCAACGGTGGAATCCAGGAGTTGACTAAAGACATGCACAAGCAGCCGTGGGGACCAATGCAGGCTTTATGTCTCGGCTGCATGGGCCACCGCGGCAGCTTACGCGCGTCTTTCGTCAGCGCCCGGCGGCGATGCCAAGTCGTTGGCAACCCAGACAACTGTTACATATTGAATAATGTTGAAACAATCCCGACAAATCGAATGACTTAGCCTTTGTCCCAGAACCCGCAA